ACAACAAAAGTATACAAATAATTAGATTTTTTAAATTAGAAATAGCAATAATGGTCAAGTACTGACCACCATTCGTTTTATCTCCAGTTAACTTAAATAAGTTTATAATTATGTTGCACCAAGGTGGCTCAGCGGAAAGCTTTTGGGCTTATAAAGACTACAAATTGAGTTTAGATATCCGTAGTGGGCAAAACAAAAACAGCCCATTGTGTCTCTACGCGTTTTACAACAAAAGTATACAAATAATTAGATTTTTTAAATTAGAAATAGCAATAATGGTCAAGTACTGACCACCATTCGTTTTATCTCCAGTTAACTTAAATAAAGCCTTTGGGCTTATAAAGACTACAAATTGAGTTTAGATATCCGTAGTGGGCAAAACAAAAACAGCCCATTGTGTATCTACGCGTTTTGAACAAAATAAAACAAATGATTAGGTTTGAAAGATACCAACATACGCGATTATTTCACAAAAGAAGAAAAAAAAACATTCTCGTAGAAAACATTTTTTGAAGAATACAGTTATAACCAGAAATCTTCAAATATTATGATAAACCCTTGAAAGTCCTTCCAATATTAACATCCGATCTCACTGGCGACAGTTAGGAGTATACTTTAAACTATAACTTATAAGTGAATTAAAAGGACTGAGGCTTATATATCGAAGAAGGTAACAGTGGCAGGGTGATAATTAGATACAGCATTTGATTTTGGTGATGTGTTCATTCGCTCTCTCACGGTTCCAGGAGGCGGTTGTTGCTGGCCAGCTAGTTGTTAGAGCAGTTAGGATGAAACGTCGGTCCCTCGGCGGCAAGGTTGAAGTGGTTGAGTTGTCTGTAATTAGTGTATGAGTTATGTGCAGTTGATAGTGGTCATATACAGCTTATCCATAACGTTTCACTCAGTAGGAGTTCTCCATGTGGCCGGTTTATCCCGCAGGCGTAGCTTGTTTCATTTTAACAGTGAACCACCAAATGAGTTGCAGAGATGACGAGTTTCTAGTATGGGAGGTAAAGACAAGAAATAAAAAGTAAAAGATAAAAATCACATAAATTACGTCAATAGTTTCCTCTGTCACCATCAAGATTTAGGGCTTTATGTCTTAATCTATATATATTGTGCTAAGAAACAAGTTTAGAGCCGGCTAGTCCACAAGAACAGACCTATAAGACTTAGACAAAAAAATGAGCCTTTTACTAAAATGTATCACGCAGTTTCGTTGCATGAATAGATCTGTCAGTGATATGGCAAAAATATGGTAAAGACTTCAGCTACTTTAATCTAGAAGAAATTAATTCTATCGGCCTCTGGCATCAGATAGTGGTTCGGAAAATTCTGTCTAGAAAGAATTATCACCATATAATTTATTTTTCTTCCAACCGAGAAAGTCGTGTACAGTTGTCCTTCAGGGCTGTTTCAATTTCCAAACAAGACGACATTAATTCCGCGATTTTTTTTTAAACACGGATTAAGTTCGGCCTATAAAAGGAACGGAATACCACATTTATTTACGTCTTACATTTAGTTTATTTGTCTACCCAAACGACACTGTTTGCACTAAATGGACTAAGTCAAAGAACTTTAAGACTCATATATAGCTCTCCCCTAACTTTGATTTGCGGACTAGAGGGAAGGCGACCAGTCGGAAGCGCCGGTCGCTGGCTGAAGTAACTACTCTTAGCCGAGTAGCGAGATTCATTACTGTGAAAATGCGAAACATGTTTGGTAGCACCACGTCTCGAACTCGGGACTCTAAGATCTGATGCGCTGTCCACTAAAATGACTAAACCACGCCCGGGCCCTTGCATTTAGCAATGAAAATGTAACTCTTTTTATAAAATCACCAGAACTATGAAAACGTTTTAGTGTAACAGTAACTGATAGATATTAGTAAGATATAGATTATGAAATAAGAATCCAAGAAAGTCCCACTAACAATATAGAAGAGGAGTAAAATTAAAGCATTGAGTATTAATAAAACTGGACTGGGCGTGGCCTAATTGTTAGCGTGCCATATCTGTGAATCCAAGAAAGTCCCACTAACAATATAGAAGAGGAGTAAAATTAAAGCATTGAGTATTAATAAAACTGGACTGGGCGTGGCCTAATTGTTAGCGTGCCATATCTGTGAATCCAAGGATTCATGGTTTGCGCCCTGTTGCCGCAAAAACGAGCTCCGCATTTTACGGCCGTGAGTGCGCTACAACCGTGAAGGTCCAGGCATACTACTTGTGACTGATAATAGCGTTGGCAGTGGGTGCCGTTAAATGCCTTCCCTCTAGTCTATTAGTATTTTTGATAACTATGCGCAGATAGTGCTTGCGTAGCTTTGTGCGAATATTCTAAAAACAAATAATCAATAAAAAAATTACATGGTCTTTTTTTTTTAATCGGCGAAACTTCACTTAGGAATGTATAAAAACGCTTTGAAAATTTTTTAAATTAAATCTTATGTCATAAAATATTGTGTTTATAACTATCTGTATATATATATACATGCTGTGAAATGTCACTTAGGAATGCATTAAGACTCTTTCGAACTTCTAAAACTAAATCTTTTGTGATAGGATATTGTGTTTAGAAGTATCTGTACATAATAGGGATGCACGGGTACCCGGCCAGATATTCGGTCCCGCCCGGGTATTGGGCTATCCGGTAATATTCGGCTCCGGGCGAGTGTCGAAGTTAGGCATCTAAGCCCTAATCTTTGTGGCAACTAACGCGGTATTGAAAGTTATAGTAATATTAAAAAAAACGTGTTCCGAGCAACAGAAACTGACCGTCCGCTGAAAGTCGGTTTGTTTGTTATGGATTTCACGCAAAGCTACACGAGGACTATCTGCGCTAGCCGTCCCTTATTTAGCATCGTAAGACTAGA